ATTAACAACAGCTGTTGAAACAAAAATTTATACACAAATGTTTATAACAACACTATCCACAATAGCCCAAACATAGATGCAACCCCAATGTCCATCAACAAATGAATGGATAAAGATAATGTAGGCGACAGCGGTCCTCCACATCCGTGGGTTCTGTACCCTTAGATAGGAGGCTATAAGGGACTCCATCACTCAGGGATTTGGAATCCGAGGACAGTCCTGGAACCAATCCCCTGTGGACACCGAGGGATGACTGCACTCATGAAATGGAATACTATTCAGCCACAGAAAGGAATGAAGCACTGACTCATGCTGGGGCACGGATGAACCTTAGAAGCATTGTGCTGGCCGTGGTGGTGGCTCACGCCTGTAATCTCAGTGCTTTAGGAGACCAAGGTGGGCTGGTCATCTAAGCCCAGGAGTTGAAGACCACCCTGGGCAACATGGCAAGACCCCATCTCTACCAAAAAACAAAAATTAACCTGGTGTGGTGGTGCATGCCTGTAGTCTCAGCTATCTGGGAGACTGAGGCGGGAGAATCTCTTGAACCCCAAAGGTGGTGGTTGCAGTGAGCTATGATTGTGCCAATGCAATCCTGCCTGGGCGACAGAGAAAGACCATCTCTCGGTTTTTAAAAAGGCGGGGCAATGTCCTTTGTGGGGGAGGAGGAAAACTTCTATGCAAATTTAAGAAGTTAGTGACAAAGGAACACATGTTGTATGCTTCCACTGATATGAAATGTCCAGAAGAGGCGAATTTATAGAGACGGAAAGCTGATTATTAGCTGACATGGGCCAGGGATAGAAGCGAGTGGGGGAATGACTGCTAATGGGCTTAGGGTTGTTTGGGCTGATGAAAAAGTTCTGGAACTAGGCTGAGCATGCTGGCACATGCCTGTAATCCTAGCGCTTCAGGAGGCTCAGGTGGGAGGATTGCTTGAGACCAAGAGTTCAGAACAGCCTGGCCAACAAAGCAAGATCCCGTATCTACAAAAAAAAAAAGAAAGAAAAGAAAGACAAGAAAGAAGGGAGGAAAGGAATAGGAAAGGAAGGAAGAGAGAGAGAGAGGGAGAGAGAGAGAGAGAGAAGGGAGGGAGGAAAGGAGAGAGAGAGAGAGAGAGAGAGAAGGGAGGGAGGAAAGGAGAGAGAGAGAGAAGGAAGGAAGGAGAGAGAGAGAAGGGAGGGAGGAAAGGAGAGAGAGAGAGAGAAGGGAGGGAGGAAAGGAGAGAGAGAGAGAGAGAGAGAGAAGGGAGGGAGGAAAGGAGAGAGAGAGAGAGAGAGAAGGGAGGGAGGAAAGGAGAGAGAGAGAGAGAAGGAAGGAAGGAAAGGAGAGAGAAAGAGGGAAGGGAGGGAGGAAAGGAGAGAGAGAGAGAAGGAAGGAAGGAGAGAGAGAGAGAAGGGAGGGAGGAAAGGAGAGAGAGAGAGAAGGAAGGAAGGAGAGAGAGAGAGAAGGGAGGGAGGAAAGGAGAGAGAGAGAGAGAAGGGAGGGAGGAAAGGAGAGAGAGAGAGGGAAGGGAGGGAGGAAAGGAGAGAGAGAGAGAGAAGGGAGGGAGGAAAGAAGGAAAGAGGGAAAGAAGGCAGGAAGGCAGGCAGGTGAACACCTTTAGTTTCAGCTACTCGGGAGGCTAAGGCGGGAAGATCACTTGACCCCAGGAGTTTGAGGCTCCCATGAGCTATGATGTTGTCACAGTACTCCAGCCTGTGAGACAGAGTGAGACCCCCATTCTCAAAAAAAAAAATAAAAATAAAAAAAGAAAGAAAAGGAAAGAAGTAAAGAGTTACAGGCGGTGGCTCGTGCCTGTAATCCCAGCACTTTGGGAGGCCGAGGCGGGTGGATCACGAGGTCGAGAGATCGAGACCATCCTGGTCAACATGGTGAAACCCCGTCTCTACTAAAAATACAAAAAATTAGCTGGGCATGGTGGCATGTGCCTGTAATCCCAGCTACTCAGGAGGCTGAGGCAGGAGAATTGCCTGAACCCAGGAGGCGGAGGTTGCGGTGAGCCGAGATCGCGCCATTGCACTCCAGCCTGGGTAACAAGAGCGAAACTCCGTCTAAAAAAAAAAAAAAAATACAAAAATTGGCTGGGCGTGGTGGCTCACGCCTGTAATCCCAGCTACTTGAGGGGCTGAGGCAGGAGAATCGCTTGAACTGGGACCTGGGAGACAGAGGCTGACGTGAGCAGAGATCACTCCAGCCTGGGCTGCAGAGCAAGACTCCGTCTCAAGAAAAAAAAAAGAAGTTCCACTTCACAGAGAGATAGAAGACATGATAGTGGATCAGCAGGATGATTTTTTTTTAAAATGATATAGGGATGGGGTCTCACTACGTTGCCCAGGCTAGTCTTGAATTCCTGAGCTGAAACAATCCTTCCACTTCAGCCTCCCAAAGTGCTGGGATTACGTGCATTAGCCACCATGCCCAGACCTAGGAGCATGCTTTTTTAAAGCACCTTGTCTGTAATACTGTATTTTAAAGAATATATACCATGGAATAAAAATTTTAAAATATTCATGGTAATAATGGGCACAAAATTCAAGATAGAAGTTATGTTTGAGATAGGAGAGGCAGTCAAATTTTGGAGGGGGTGGCCCATGGGGAGTCAGTTGTATCCCTAATATTTTAGAGCTGGTAAGCAGAATATAGGTGTGTGGGTTTTTTCGTAAAACACACATAAAATTTAGTTTTAACCATTTTAAAGCACACAGCTCAATGGCTTTAAGTAAATGTTGCACAACTATCCACACTGTTTAGTTCCAGAACTCTTTTTATTTTTTTGAAATGGAGTTGCACTGTTGTTGCCCAGGCTGGAGTGCAATGGCACGATCTCGGCTCACTGCAGCCTCCACCTTCTAGGTTCAAGCAATTCTCCCGCCTCAGCCTCCTGAGTAGCTGGGATTACAGGTGTACACCACCACACCTGGCTAATTTTTGAATTTTTGTAGAGATGGAGTTTCTCCATGTTGTCCAGGCTGGTCTTGAACTCCTGGCCTCAGGTGATCTGCCCACCTTGGCCTCCGAAATTCCTGAGATTACAGGCGTGAGCCACCACACCTGGCCTCCTTTACTTTTTTGAGTGTATAACACATTTGCTCGGTTTCAAATTCAAAAAGTACAAAAGGCTGGGCACAGTGGCTAATATCTGTAATTCCACCACTTTGGGAGGCTGAGGCAGGTGGATCACTTGAGTCCAGGAGTTCGAGCCCAGCCTGGGCAACATAGGGAGACCCCCATGTCTACAAAACATACAAAAATTAGCCAGATGTGGTGGCCCACTCTTGTAGTCCCAGCTACTCAGGAGGCTGAGATGTGAGGACTGCTTGAGCCCCGGAGGTCGAGGCTGCAGTGAGCTGAGATCATGCTACTGCACTCCCTCCAGGCGGCCTGGGCAACAGAGGGAGAGCTGGTCTCAAAATAATAATAATAATAATAATAATAATAATAATAATAAAGAACAAAAAGGATAAAAAGGATAGAGTGTAGTAAGTTTCTGTCCTGGAAGTTAGACTATGTTGCCAGTTTCAATTTCTTCTCTCTTGTTCCAGTTTATCTGGACACAGTCCCAGAACACACACAAGCCCAGAACAGGCTGCAGGCTGTACTTGACCTTCCTTTTTTTTCTCTTCTACAGGTTATCATTTGGAGACTTTCCACACATTCACACAATGAGCTTCTTTGTTCTTTTTTATGGACACCTAGTATTCCGCTGCATGGATCAGTCATGATTTAGTACTCAAATCTCCTACAGATGGGAGTTCAGCTTGTTTTCAGCCATTTGCAGTGATGTGCAGTACTGCAATGATTAACCTGGGACAGACATTATTTTGTGTCGTTTCTAGTAGATACCGCTGAAGAAGAAATTCCTGGAATTGCTGGCTTGGTAAGACTGTTCCGAGTTCTCCTTGCCCCAGCTAGGTATGAAAGGACCTGTTTGCTCACAATCTCATTCACACTGTTTGGCAGGAATGTAACCTTAAACAAACAGAGTCGAGCTGCGGGTATACTCCTGCAAAATGCCTTTTCTCCTCCACATGAGGTTTTTGAGATGTGGCCAGGTGGGTTTCATTCTGCCAATTTCAGCTGAAATATTGCTGCCTCCAGGAAGACCTCAGGAATCACCTCTTGCCAATGTGAGCTCAGCTCAGTGCCTTCTGTTCTCTGCTTTCCTATAGCAGTCTCCTGTCTTGGAACACACATTCCCCCACACGCACTCCAGCGTGTCTGATCCGTGTCTGTCTGCCTTCCCCATCAGACCATGAACTCGCTGGGGACAGGGTCGAATGGCCTCTGTTTTTGCTACTGTGGCTCCAGCACCAAGGACAGCGCCAGCCCATAGTAGGTGCTCAGTAAACATTGGTTGCTAAGATCCCAGGGAATGTGCGTATATGTGACAAAATATACGCAGGCTGGCCTGTAGTAGATAGTCAGTAAATATTGGTCACTTAGGGTCAAATGACTATATGCGGGGGCTTATCACAAAGGGGAAACTGAGGCTCAAGGTGGGAGAGTCCTTCACGCCGGCAGCCAAGGGAAGGCTGGAGCCAGGTTCTAATCCACAGTGCCGGTATTTTCTGAAGCCTCTGTCACTGCTTCATTCATCTTCCTCCCCCAACCATCCCCTCGGCTTGACACAGTGCCTGGCACAGACAGGACTTGATAAATGTGTATTTGTTGAAGGAATGAATGAGTGTGTGTGTGTGTGTGTGTGTGTGTGTGTGTGTGTGTGTGTGTGTTGGGGAGCCGGGGGTGGCTGGATCCAGCGTCCCAGGCCCCCTCAGCACCCTCTGCTCTCTGGGAGCCGGGGGACAGGCCCCCAGCCCCCTCCCCTCACAGGACCCTGGGGTGCAGGACTGCCCTCCCTCCCCTCCCTGGGTCCCCCGTCCTCCCGCTTCCGGCTTCCTAGCCAGTCTTTCCTCTTTCAGGCTCCGACGAAAGGCTGGGTTTCCGGGGGGAAGGCTTAGGCGGTGACACCGAGCCCAGCCTCCTCCTCCACCCCCCACCACACTCGGGTCCCCCCCTCCCTCCCCGCCACCACCGTCCGCGTTTGGCCGGCCGTGGGGAAGGAAGAAAGGAGCCAAGGAGGCCAGGTAAGAACCCAGCCCCAGCGACCAGGGCCGAGCCCCAGGCCCGGGGCTCAGAAATCCTCAAGGCCTCGACCCGGCCCCAATTCTGCTGATCATGCCTTGGGGAGCTGCAGGCTTGGCCCAGAGGAGATTGGCCCCCCTCTGGGACCTGGGACCCCTGACCTTACCAGCCTCCCTCCCGGGTCCAGGGGTCCAGCCCTCAGCCGCCTCCTCCCTGGGGATTCCGGGCAGCTGGGTCCCCAGCCCGCACCTCCCCCTTGTCCTAGGAGCCCAGCCCCCTCCCCAGCCCCTCCTCCACCGGGACCCAGGAATCCACCTCCTCCATAACAGAGTCCCTAGTCGGTCCCGGCCTGGACCCAGGAGGAGTCTCAATCCCCAGCTCCCACCTCCCTCAGTCCCAAGAGTCTGGGCCCCCAGCCCCCTCCCAACTCAGACCAGAAGTCTGAGCCCTCCTACTCCCGGGCCTCTCCCAGCCCCTGGCATCTGGGCACACGCTCCATTTCCGGGGCCTACTGGCTTCGAATCCCACCCCTCCACTCAGGCCCCCCTGGGCTGTGTCCCAGCCCCTCCCGAAACGTTCAGCCTGGCCGGGGGGCCTGGAGCAGAAGCGGGTCACTGACTCTGCCCCCTCTGTGCCTCTACCCTGCCTCACCCCCTCTGTGTCTGTCTCCATGTCCCCAGCCTCCAACCCACCGCTGCGCTCCTGATCGCTCTGCTTACACTGTCTCTGCCTCTGGGCCTCCAAGTCTCTTTGTTTCCTCTTCTCTGTGTCTCTGTCTCTCTGCTGGGTGTTCCTCGCTCTCCTCTCTCTCTTCTCTGCTCTGCTGTTCACCATCCTGTCTTTCTGTGTCTCCTGGTCTCTGTCTGTCCATCTGCACTTCTCTGTGTCTCCCATCTCTGCCTTCCCCTGTCTCTGTTCCCTGCTCTGTCTCTGATCTCTGCCTCTCTCCCTGTCTTTCTGTCTCTGCCTCCTCGCCTCCGTGTCTCTCACCTTTGTCTCTGTCTCAAATCTCTCTCCCCTGGCTGAATACCTGCCCTCTCTGCCTCTTTAGCTCCGACTGTCTCTGTCTCTGCTTCTCTCTCTCGGCCACACCCCACGCACTTCTCTTTACCTCTGCCCCCCTTGCCATCTCTGCCTCTCTCCCCACAGGCATGGATCCGCAGCCTCCTCCGCCTGCTCAGGGCAGCCCACCTCACCGTGGCCGAGGCCGGGGCCGTGGTCGAGGCCGTGGTCGAGGCCGTGGCCGTGGCAGGGGCGGCGCTGGAGCCCCTCGGGCGCCCCTGCCCTGCCCCACCTGCGGCCGCCTCTTCCGCTTCCCCTACTACCTCTCCCGGCACCGGCTGAGCCACTCGGGGCTCCGGCCCCACGCCTGCCCGCTGTGCCCCAAGGCCTTCCGCCGGCCTGCCCACCTCTCCCGCCACCTGCGGGGCCATGGGCCCCAGCCCCCGCTGCGCTGTGCCGCCTGCCCCCGCACCTTCCCGGAGCCTGCCCAGCTCCGGCGTCACCTGGCTCAGGAGCACGCAGGCGGCGAGGTCGAGCTGGCCATCGAGAGGGTGGCCAAGGAGGGGGCCGAGTCCAGCTGGGGCCCGCAGGACGAGGGCACGGAGCAGCCGGCCACTGCTGCGCCGGGGGCCGCGGAGGAGGAGGCGTCCGCAGCGTGGCCCGAGACGTGGCCTGCAGGGGAGCCGGCCACGCTGGCTGCGCCCACCAGCGCCGCGGAGCCTCGAGAGTCGGAGTCGGAGGAGGCCGAGGCCGGGGCCGCAGAGCTGAGGGCCGAGCTGGCGCTGGCGGCTGGGCGGCAGGAGGAGAAACAGGTCTTGCTCCAGGCGGACTGGACACTGCTGTGCCTGCGCTGCCGCGAGGCCTTCGCCACCAAGGGCGAGCTCAAGGCGCACCCGTGTCTGCGCCCGGAGGGCGAACAGGAGGGTGAAGGGGGGCCCCCGCCGCGCCCCAAGCGACACCAGTGCTCCATCTGCCTCAAGGCCTTCGCCAGGCCCTGGTCCCTGTCGCGCCACCGGCTGGTCCATTCCACCGACCGCCCTTTCGTGTGCCCAGACTGCGGCCTGGCCTTCCGCCTCGCCTCCTACCTCCGCCAGCACCGCCGCGTCCACGGCCCACTCAGCCTGCTGGCCCCGCTGCCCGCGGCGGGCAAGAAGGACGACAAGGCCTCGGGGGCACGGAACTCAGCTAAGGGGCCAGAGGGGGGCGAGGGGGCGGAGTGCGGGGGTGCCTCGGAAGGCGGAGGAGGTGGGCAGAACGGAGGCGACGCCGCCCCGGCCCGGCCGCCGGCCGGGGAGCCGCGCTTCTGGTGCCCGGAGTGCGGCAAAGGGTTCAGGCGCCGCGCGCACCTGCGGCAGCACGGGGTCACCCACTCGGGAGCGCGCCCCTTCCAGTGCGTGCGCTGCCAGCGGGAGTTCAAGCGCCTGGCCGACCTGGCGCGCCACGCACAGGTGCACGCGGGGGGCCCGGCCCCTCACCCGTGCCCGCGCTGCCCGCGCCGCTTCTCGCGCGCCTACAGCCTCCTGCGCCACCAGCGCTGCCACCGCGCCGAGCTGGAGAGGGCCGCCGCGCTGCAGGCCCTGCAGGCCCAGGCCCCGCCGTCGCCGCCACCGCCGCCCCTGAAGACCGAGCAGGAGGAAGAAGGGCTCCCACTGCCTCTCGCAAACATTAAGGAAGAGCCGCCCTCTCCGGGGACCCCACCCCAGACCCCGCCGGCTCCCCCTGTCTTCCTCAGCGCCTCCTGTTTCGACAGCCAAGACCACTCAGCCTTTGAGATGGAGGAAGAAGAGGCAGACAGCAAGGCTCACCTGCGTGGGCTGGGGGGCCTGGCCTCCTGACCTCCGCCGCCCTGGCCTCTGCCACTCCGCCTGAGCTCCTGTTTGCAGAATGGAGGAGGGAAGTTGAAGGAGCCGCCTCCTCTGTCCACCCACCCGTCCCCTTCACGCCCTTGACACTAAGGAGTAGGGGGCCCCGGACTGCCCCCTCGCTCCCCATGGCCCGCCCCCAGAACCCCCGATGCTGGTTAGGAACCGCTCACCCCAACATGTGTCTTAAGGCAGGACGACTTGGGAAAAAAGGCGGCGGACAGTTGGCCAGAGGGATGGAGACTGGTGGGGACGCCCCCGCCTGCCTGTCCCCCGTTACACACACTGGACACCATCACCTCTTCGGAACTGCGAGACCCTGGGGGTCCCCAGTGAGCAAAGGTCTGTCCTTGTCCCTTTGTCTGTCTGTGAATAAATGTGAGTTCGTGAAACCCGAGAGAGCGAGGTGTTCTCTGGAGGTGGGGGCAGGCTGGGGGCGCTGGGGCGAGTTAGGATCTGTCCAGCGGACTCTGAGCTCAGGTTCAGAGCAGGAAGGAGACAGAGGCGTCAGAGAATACGTGGCCCTCAACCAAGCAAGAAGCCGGTGAAGCCTGGGTTCACCAGAAACAGGAATGTGAGATGACAGAGAATCGTCACCCCTGCGCTGGGGAATCTCTGAGCGTGTTAGTCACTCAATCTCTACCGCACCCTACTCTGTGCCAGCGGTGGCACTGGGCCCTGGGAGAAGGAGGCCAATGCCATCCTCTGAAAGAGCAGGAGTTCTAGCCCTGCATTGTCCAACACAACTTTTTTTTCCCCTAGAAAAGTTTCCATAATATTTCTTCCCGCACTCTGATGCCCAGGCTGCTGTGCTAGGGTGCAGACATAGCGCACTGCAGCCTCAAACTCCCAGACCTAAGCAATCCTCTTGCCTCAGCCTCTCTGGTGCATGCCACCACACCCAGCTAAGTGTTTAACTTTTTGTAGAGATGGAATCTTGCCCCGTCTGGGAGAACTTTCTGTGATGATGGGATATTCTACATTTTCACTGTCCAATATGGTATCCAGCAACCACACGTGGCTATTTCCATTTAAATTTAGAATACGGAAATGTAAAGTCATTAAGATGAAATAAACGTGAAAGTTTGGCTTCTCAGTCACACTTTTTTTCTTTTCTTTTCTTTTCTTTTCACCTAGGCTGGAGTACAGTGGCACAATCTCAGTTCACTGCAACCTCCACCTCTTAGGTTCAAGTGATTCTCCCGCCTCAGCCTCCTGAGTAGCTGGGATTAGAGGAGGCTGCCACCACACCCAGTTAATTGTTGTATTTTTACTTAGAGACAGGGATTCGCCATGTTGGCCAGGCTGGTCTTGAGCTCCTGACCTCAGGTGATCCACCTACCTCAGCCTCCCCCAGTGCTGGGATTACAGGTGTGAGCCTGGCCTCAGTCACACTATTTCAAGGGCTAAAGAACCTCACGTGGCTGGTGGCTGCCATGTTTGACAGCACAGATCTAGAACATGACATCATTGAAAAAAGTCCTGCAGAATGCAATATAGCACCAGATATATAGGCTACCAAGATAAACCACCAGATAGCATGATGGAAGAGCAGGATGGGGGAGTCTGGGCTTCTCTGGTGAGGCTGTGTTTGATTTGAATGAAGGTGGAGGGAACCAGGTGTAAGAAAGAAGCATCTGTGATAAGAAAACACCAGGCAAAGAAAAAACAGGGGCAAAGGCTAGGAGGTGCGGAGGTGCTACATGTTTTTTGGTTTTTGTGTTTTTTGTTTTGTTTTGCTTTGTTTTGTTTTGTTTTGAGACAGGGTCTTGCTCTATTGCCCAGGCTGGAGTGCAGTAGTGCAATCATAGCTCAATGCAGCCTCGACCTCCTGGCTCAAGGGATTCTCCCTCCTCAGCCTCCCAAGTAGCTGGGACTACAGGTGTGCACTCTCATGCTTGGCTAATTGTTTAAAATTGTTGTGGAGACGGTGTCTTCCTATGTTGCCCAGGCTGGTCTTGGACTCGGGCTCAAGCAGTCCTCCTGCTGCAGCCTCCCAAAGTTCTGGGATTAGCAGCATAAGCCACTGCACCTGGCCATTACTGCATATTTTAGAGACTGTAAGTAATTGGAGGTGGGGTGGGAAGTTTCCATTTCTACACATCTTCTGGTTGCTTTCTTTTTTTACTCGTTTATTTAGGTGCTAGGAATGGAAGGAAGAGGTATACCTGTCAGCTAATCTCCTTTAAACATCTTTCTCTTTTCTACTCTTGACACCTTGCCTTCCCCCAGCACCTTCAATGGTTCTCTCTTGCCCTAGGCAAATAATGACATTGACCACTTCGATATCTGCATACCCATAAGAAACAGCAAGGAAGGGGCAGAGCCTCCCCATTTTTCAGGACAATGAACTGAGGCTCAGAGAGGGAAGATGTGTCCCCCAGTGTGACAATGATCCTCGATGGATCAAAGGAGGAAGGGAAGCCAGAAAGATGGCGGTTGAGGATCGAGGTGGGAGATGATGACCACTGAAAGCTTCAAATAATTCCACCTTCAATGATTTCGTACATCTTGGCTGAGCCCTTAGCACTGTGCCAGCTTGTAGTAAGTCTCAATATGGGTTAGCTTGTCTGATTTTTTTTTTTTTTTTTTTTTTTTTTGAGACGGAGTTTCGCTCTTGTTACCCAGGCTGGAGTGCAATGGCGCGATCTCGGCTCACCACAACCTCCGCCTCCTGGATTCAGGCAATTCTCCTGCCTCAGGCTCCTGAGTAGCTGGGATTAAAGGCACGCGCCACCATGCCCAGCTAATTTTTTGTATTTTTAGTAGAGACGGGGTTTCACCATGTTGACCAGGATGGTCTCCATCTCTTGACCTCGTGATCCACCCGCCTCGACCTCCCAAAGTGCTGGGATTACAGGCTTGAGCCACCGCGCCCGGCCTTGATTTTTTTTTTTTTAAACAGACCCTCACTTTGTTGCCCAGGCTGGAGTGCAGTGGGACAATCGTAGCTCACTGCAGCCTCCATCTCTTGGGCTCAAGTGATTCTCCTGCCTCAGCCTCTGGAGTAGCTAGGACTACAAATGCGTATCACCATGCCTGGCTGATTTTAAAATTTTTTCTTCGTAGAGCTGAGGTCTCACTATGTTGCCCAGGCTGGTTTCCAACTCCTGGTCTCAAGTGATCCTCCCCACTCAGCTTCCCAAAGTGCTGGGATTATAGTCGTGAGTCACCCCACCTGGCCTACCCAACTGTTTACCACTGAGTTTAAGCCCAGTGCTGGATGTTGGGGCTAGTATTTGATGACACCACCTGGGCACCCTCGTGATAACCAGCAGTCCAGCTCAGGAGATAAATCATGGCTAGACACCTGTTACATACAATATTATGGACAAAACCCATCAAACAAGAAAATGATATAGCTCCATTTATAAAAGGGCCAAATTGGGGCTTCAAGCAAATAAGCCATCTGTCCCACTTCAGTAATCGCTCCTACAAAATGAACCTTGCGTATTAAATGACTTACTTCATGGAAAGGACCAAAGACAGTGCTTGGGGCTGGCAAGAGTTGTTGTTGTTGGCTGGGCATGGTGGCTCACACCTGTAATCCCAGCACTTTGGGAGGCTGAGGTGGGTGGATTATCTGAGGTCAGGAGTTTGAGACCAGCCTGGCCAACGTGGTGAAACCCTGTCTCTATTAAAAATATAAAAATTTAGCCAAGAGTGGTGGCAGGTGCCTATAATCCCAGTTACTGGGGACACCGAGGCAGGAGAATCACTTGAATCTGGTAGGCGGAGGTTGCAGTGAGCTGAGATCATGCCACTGCACTCTAGCCTGGGTGACAGAGTTAAAAAAAAAAAAAGTTGCTGCTGTTGGTACTTTAACTATTATTCTCCCTGGCTGGTATGTACAGGATCTCAGTGAATCCTCACCACTCTACTGGGAGACAGGAAACACCCTCTCATCTTCCAGATGCAGAGAGGAAGTCCCTTGTCCAAGATATCATGGTTACAAATTGGCAGACCTGGTACTTGAACACTTACCCAGGCCAGTCTTACCCTCCCCATCAGCTCCCACCACACAACCCACTCTTAAGCCCCTTCCTACACATATCTTGGTCTCCAGGACCCATGGGCCCCTCTGCCCTGTGGGTTTGCCCATCCTTCCCCATGCAGATCTGCCTTCTCAGGAGAGAGACATTTTCAGAACAAAAAACAGAATTGACGAAGAGAAGGCGGCCTTAGAGAGAGAGCCCAGCTTTTTCACTGTGCAGGTGGAAAAACTGAGGCCAGATGCATGGGACAGACACAGAGAATGATTAAGTAACCAAATGTCACTGATTATTGAAGGAGTCGTGGTCATGTAGGGAACATGACCTGTCGTTTCTCTCTCACTGTGCTGACCATTTTACACATGTGATTGCAACCACATTTGTTAATAATAGGAACCCACTTCTTTTTTTCTTTTTCTTTTCTTTTATTTATTTTATTTATTTATTTATTTTTTTTGAGACAGAGTTTTGCTCTTGTTACCCAGGCTGGAATGCAATGGCACGATCTCGGCTCACCGCAACCTCCGCCTCCCGGGTTCAGGCAATTCTCCTGCCTCAGCCTCCTGAGTAGCTGGGATTACAGGCACGCGCCACCATGCCCAGCTAATTATTTGTATTTTTAGTAGAGATGGGGTTTCACCATGTTGACCAGGATGGTCTCGATCTCTTGACCTCGTGATCCATCCTGCCTCAGCCTCCCAAAGTGCTGGGATTACAGGCTTGAGCCACCGCGCCCGGCGGAACCCACTTCTTGAGTGTTCACCCTATGTCTGTTTCAAGGGCATTACACAGATTAGTCCATTTAATCCTCACAATAGCCCCATAAATTTAGATACTATTATTGGCTCTGTTTTCTGTTTTGGATTTTCATAAACAGCTTTATTGAGGTATCATTTACATGCCATAGACTTCATCCATTTGGTCGTACAAATCGATTAAAGAGAGAGAGAGAGAGAGAGAGAGAGACAGAGAGAGAGAGAGAGAGAGAGACAGAGAGAGAGAGAGAGACAGAGAGAGAGAGACAGAGAGAGAGAGAGAGAGAGAAGAGAGAGAGACAAAGAAGTCTTGCTCTGTGACCCGGGCTAGAGAGCAGAGGCACAATTTTGGCTCACTGCAACCTCCTCCTCCTAAGTTCAAGCAATTCTCTGCCTCAGCCTCCAGAGTAGCTGGGATTACAGGTGCCTGCTACCATACCCTGCTAATTTTTGTTTATCATTTTTAGTAGAGATGGGGTTTCACCATCTTGGCCAGGCTGGTCTTGAACTCCTGACCCCATGATCTACCTGCCTCAGCCTCCCAAAGTGCTGGGATTACAGGCGTGAGCCACCGCACCTGGCCAATTTTTAATAAATGTACAGAGTTGTGCAGCTATCACCACAATCCAATTTTAGAATATTTCCGGG